GGCTTTCCAGGCTGGTTTTGCCCGGAACCCATTCTTCAGATGAACTTGTACGTAGAAGTGTCACAAATACAGCCTTCTCTGTTGGAGCTGGGCTGGGAGCCCAAGCAGTTTGATAATCAGACTTTTTAAAGGAGGAAACTGAGGTCCAGAGAGGTCAGATAACTAGCTCAGAGTCACACAGTGCTGCTGACAGGCTTGGGGCTGCAATCAGTCAGTCTGTGGGAAGTGGGCACCCAGTACAGGCCGGGTGTGGAGCTGGGCCCTGGGCATGAAGCCGTGAAGAAGAAAGCCAGCGCCCTTGCCTGCAGCGGGGACAGGGGACGTTAAATACTGAACTGCAGGGGTGTGGAGGAGTGGAATACTTGATGTGGAGGGTCAGGGAGACTTTGTGGAGGACGTGACATTCAGTTGTGCTGGCAGATGGATGGGAGGTGGCTTAGACAGGCAGAGAGGCCCAACAGTGGCCAAGACCCTGAGCTGGAAGACCGTGTGGCAAGGACAGAGAGGGTGCAGGAGAAGGTGGCTGAAGATGTACCTGAAGGAGTAGTGAAGGCCAGGGGCCTGCATATTTTAAGTACACTGGAGAGCCGTGGAGTTTATTCAGTGGGAGTGACGTGGTCAGAGAAACACTTCAAAGATCACTCGCAGTTATGGGGAATGAATTGGAGCAGAGCAGGAGAGGAAGCAGGAGATAGGACCTGAGGGGGGAGATGGGTTGCTCAGATTGGGATAGGTTTGCCAATTCCCACCCACCCATCAGAACGGCTCAAGGGTCCCCTGCCCAGGCAGCCTTTCCCACCTGCCCTGTGCAGGGCCTGTGCTCCTGCCTCTGGCTCTCATAGCCCCATGTGCCTCCCACTTAGGGTTCTTGGCATAATTGCAGTGGAGTATTTGTTGGTGATTGTTTAACAGCTGCCTTTACCTCCTGCAAGACCAGTGTTTCCCAGCCTTGGCACCATTGACATTTTGGGCTGAATAACTTGTTGTGGGGCCATCTGTGCATTGTAGGATATTGAGCAGCATCCCTGCCTCTGCACCCTAGATGCCAGAAGCATCCCCTCCCCAAGTTGTGACAACCAAAGTGTCTCTAGACAATGCCAGATGTCCCCTGGAGACGGATTGCCCCTGGCTGGGAAACCGCCGCTGGGGTTAAATTGAGTTTGGTGTGGGGGACATGAGCTTGTTTGCATGATGCTTAAAGGATTCCTTGGGTTGGAGAGCAAGTTAGTTGTTGAAGTTCCGTAGCTCTGATTACTCGATCTCTTCCAGGATTATGGCAGGAAAAGTAAAGTGGGTCACTGATATCGAGAAGTCTGTGCTGATCAATAACTTTGAAAAGAGAGGATGGGTCCAAGTGACAGAGAATGAGGACTGGAATTTTTACTGGTAAGTATAAAAAGCTGGATTTTATTGTTTTCCTGAAGTCTCCCTGTCAGTAATGTTAATTCTTTTTTTTCCAAAGAAGCCCCATTTTATCAGAGAGATCATACAAAGCCTTTCCCCCTAGGAAAAGCTGTGCTCCCTGTCTCAAGGTGATGTGGGCCCCTTGCTCAGTTCCCAACTTTCTCTCCCAGCGGCGCTTCCCACGGTGCTCGGAGGGTTTGCAGAGACAGCTGACACGTGTGTAAAGGCTGTGCAGGCTGTCAGTGAGCATTCGATTTCCAACCATTTCCTTCTTTTGGATGCAACGCTGCGATAGTATTACTGATTCTAGCCCCTTGGATATGGAGCACACCTTTTGAAGGATTGTAACTTCAGAGGTAGGTGTCTTCATGCCACCGTGTAATCTCCTGTTTCAAAGTTTTCCTCCCCAGGCACTTGGGGAGCACATGAGATAAAGCCATCTGTTAGTATACATTGTCAAGTCTCACACTTGCTGCTTATTAACCTGGAATGTGAAGTCCAAGGATGTTTCAGTAGAGCCAAGTGTGGTTAATACTGCGGGAAACTTGGATGAGAAACGAGAGCCTTCGCTTCCGCCTTCCAGTGTGCGTTTGTGTAGCTGGTGGCGTGGGGCAGGGAAGAGGACCGTGGAGGGCCGGCCCAGTGGCGCACTGCTACAGTGCGCCGCTTGGGAGCGCGGTGGCGCTACCACCGAGGGTTCAGATCCCACATACGGACCGGTTCCCGCTCACTGGCTGAGCGAGATGCGGGCGCAACACCGAG